GATGTGATCTGGTATAGTTTTCTAACCATTTATGTTGGTTTCGTGACACAAGTTCCTTGCAATTCATTGTTAATTCCCCTCTTTTTGGAGATAATCACACGGTAATCTTTTAGCGTTTGCCAAGAAAGTACATCTGACCAAAGTGACGACGAACGACGACGGATCGTTCGAGCTCAAGGGCTCCAGGCCGATCAACAAGAGCTTCGAGCCGTGGTTGCACGTCATGACTACGTGTCACAGTCCGTCTGTAAGTACGCACGTGGCTGAATCAGGCGTCGGCTAGTTTTCCGGCTCAGAGTTCAGGTTACGGTCGGCAAACGACCATGGACACATGCACGGTAGTGCTCGTGAAGACCCCCCGTGCCGTTCGCCGTTCTTGTGCTGACCCCCCCCCCCCTCCCTGCCGTTCCCCGTGCCCGTGCCAAAAAAACGGCCAGTTACCCGTGCCCGTTCTCTAAACCAAAAATACGCCCAAAAAGCCGTATTTTCACATAAACGGTTCATCAGAGCAGCCATTTTGGACATTAGCTCTTAAAGTATCATGGTTCAAGCAGTTGAAACGAACAAGAGAAAGTTAAAGAAAAAAGTTTAAAATTTGTTGAAAATATGCATACTTCCCGAAATTTTTTCTCCAAAGGTTCCCCCTTAGGATAAGCACGGGTACGAGAACGGCACCAGTTCATGGACCCCCCCCCCCCCGTGCAGATCCCCGTGCCCATGAAAAAAGGGGAACGGGAGCGGACACGGCTTCCGAACACTAATGCACGGTACAACCGTGGTACGGTTATACGGCAGCTTACTGGCGTACTATCTGTACTGAGTACGGTACGCGTGGATCAGGACAGTACAGAGCTCCAGTTTTCTCGATATTTAGCACTAGTGCGGCTCCTACTAGTACCGTACGTGTTCTTGCGTGTAGTAGCGTACCGTACTGTACGGTACGGAGTGCGGTACGGCGGGGGGGGGGGGGTCAGTGCGATACGGAGCAGGTACAAATACCGTCAATTCCGTGGGCACGTCGTTGGCGGCTGCTACGACGGACTTAATGCACAACTGATTATTCCAAGACATGGAACGGATGGAGACATAAACTTCTTTAATCCAAACAGCGCTCTAGAAGCGCTGCATTCGCCGCTTGACCTGGAAAATACCGCAATGCTACGCCTTCCCGGAAACCTGGCTTGACAGGGACTCGACCAAACCGGCGCTGGTCGACTACAACTGCCCGGCCGAACGCTGGTTCGAACTCAACGTGGACTTGTTCAACATCACGGAGAATACCGAATGCTACGCCGGCGGAGGACGATGAAGAACTTCTATTCGTTTCCTTTTTGCCGATAGCAAGAAGTACTACATTGAACGCTCATCGAAAATGCCCAATGTTCCATGCCGCTCTCGGTCCCCCCCCCCCACAGCTCTTCCGCCGACGCTTCCGCGCAGAATTTATCCATGTTGAGGACTACCAAATAGAGCATGGATGGGATCCGGCCTCGGTCTTGGTTCCCCGAAAGTCTCGGACCATTTTGATGGTCATGGTATGATTTTTAGAATCCCCCATCCCTGAAATAGACATCGAGGCTGGCTACCCAATACCCTACCCGTACCCGAAGTGATCCGTCCCGTACCGTAGCCCTATCCTATTTTATGTTTATGACCCGTAATTGTGTATATGGCTACGGCCACGTAACACGTAAATGAGCTGAAACACAGCCGTACCGTAGCCGTACCCGAATCTTACGGCTACGGGTACGGCTCGGCCCGTAGCACGGTACGGCTCCCGATCTGTATTACCAAACACAAAGTCTTCAGGGTCTTCGTGAAACCGCTCGGAAACGGTTTCCGCTCAGTGCGTACCGTTGGAGCATCGATTTCTGCATTAACATATTCCAGCTAAATTAACGTGGACCTATTTGAATTATGCCTATTTTCGTAAATCATCTCGACGATTCGGGCAAAACTGTAGTTGATCACGAAGGTCGGAATCGTGCAGTGTCTCTCAGGGGTCTCTCGAAGCAGTCTTGATTTTATCGGAATTCGGGAGCGCCTTTTTAGCGTTTTGGGGTGGGCACACTGGAAGGATTCGTAATATCGAGATCATTAACTTGATCTCGGAGGAACCGTCGCGTCTCACATCGACACGAAGGCGAAACGCGGCCAGAGGCGTGTAAACGGGAGGATAATCGAAATACCGGAATTCCGGTCTTTATTCGGAAATAAAAAAGGCCGAAATGCGGAATAGAGGAATCGGCATTCCGGCACACCTGATGGCTACGACTGTTCGATGTCGCCCTCATTTCATGGATACATGTGAATAAACTAATTATGTTAATTTCAATACTAATTTAATTTTACTAAGTTATATGTTAAATAAACGTAAAAACGGTGCTAAAATGTTTTAAAACAATTTCTAAAAACTGGTTTTTTTAACAAAAGCACTGGGAACCAATATATGCGTCTTCAATGTACTGTGTGAGGTACGCTGAAATCGTACAGTGATATGCATCGTAGGCGTCAGCATTTGTTTGTAACGTGGACGCCAGACGGCGCGCGTGACTGTCCCACACAATAAGAAGAATTCCGGAAGGACGCTGCGAATATGTCACGTAGTACGATTTCGCTTTCACGAGTTTCTTTGTCGCGTTCGCCCGCTGGCGACAAGCGTCCTCTGACCGGAAGTATAAAAGCGCACCGCCCACCGGATGTTCAAGCCTCGCAAAGCCCACTTTTCTTTGTACGCACTCCTACGTCGTTTTTCCTATCAGTGAGTATCCCTAAGAAGCCCACTGCTAAACGTTTAGGCCGCCCACTTTGGGCAATAGAACGTCTAGAATTAAGGCTCTTTTCTCTTGCCGAAACTTCTCCTGTCTCTCTGAAAGGTTGTGAGGCCAACCTTATCCGATTTAGTCGTCAGTCAGAGACATGTGATCGGCCTTTCTGTTGGGTTTTGTGGTTTTTATTGAGCTGCTTAACCCCAAATGATGTGTTACGGTCACAAAACCGGACGGCAATTGTTAAAATCCTGCCTGTTTCGAACTGAGAGGCCGGAGAGAACGCTTTACGGTCATATACGCTCCGACCGTCGGGTTAGAGCGCGCCCCAGTACCATTTTTGACCCACGCAGCAAAGTGACAATTCCATCCGCTGAAGTCGTGATAGGAAACGTTTGCGGGCAAGACGATTCAAGTCCGCTTTTATTTGTATGCGTACCTGTCGTGTTTCGTATCAGTGAAGACCTCCAAGAGTTAGCAGAATCCAGTCTTTTTATTAGAAGAACAGTGATGTAGGCACGTTCTATTTTACTTGCATGCGGTAATGGGCTCGCTGAACTGACAGTTTGTGTGACCTTAATGATCCTAGCCCACGTAAGCAGGATATATTCAGCTCTCGCCATGAAGTTCCTTACCTTCGTGCTTCTCGTCGCTTTCGCGCTCTATGAGCTCGAGGCCGGTCCGCTGTCGTTCTGCTGCTGCCCCTGCAAGGACCAGGGCTCGTCCTGCCAGGAGCCGTGTCCGCAGCCGTGCCGTCGGCGTTGCCAGCAGCCGTGCCAGAGTCCCTGCCAGCAGCCATGCGCCGATCCGTGCCAACCATTCCCGCAGCCCCCGCAGCCATTCCCGTGCCCAAGCGGTGGCGGCGGAGCCTGGCCACTGTGGGGCCCCACCGGTGGCGGATGCGGCGGACGTAAGAAGCGCGACGTTCACGTAAGTGCTCCGCAGTGTTTCCCATGAACCGGGATTTTTTCGCGATGAACTGAACTGGAGCCCCAGTTCAGTTCAGTTCACTAAAGTTCAGTGAACTTGTCTGTCCATCGCAAAAATTTGAAAGCCGCCCATAGGTGAGCGAGAACCTCTGGCGAAGAAAAGTTTTAGGAAGTCGGCGCAAGGTGCTCCCATTTCCACCCAAAATTAGCTCTCAGGGTGAATAGCGATGCATGGAACAAGGTACGACTTCAACATGAGTGGCGGACAGTCCGAAGGACCGATGAAATCTGCCCTTACGGTCAGGGTCCCCCCTTGTCATCCGCTCATATTCTTGGCCCGGATGCCCTGTTCACTGAGCTTGCAAGTCCAATGAACCACAATTTTTCGCTGAACTGAACTCGAGCTCAAGTTCAGTTCAGTTCAGTTGAGCCAAGTTCAGTGAACTTGGCAGTTCAGCGAAACACTGGTGCTCCGTACAAGTTCGCCAGAACGAGCAAATATCCGAGTCCTGTCGTGCACAACGATATCTGCGCGAATCGGAATCGGTATCGAATATCGGTCATTTTCTGCAAGTGTGATATGTCTTAAAAGACCGATTCGTTCGATTCATTGCGGCATAGTACAGAATCGTTTAAAAAATCTGTTCCTTCTTCTGAGACTAGTTAGTTGCAGCGAGTGAACATCCAGCTTTTTAGGCCGTCGACGCTGTTCGAGCGATTGAGGCGTCCCAGTAACCCGGCACATCATCTTCCATAGACGGATGAGCCAACCCTAGCAACGTCCGACGTCTTTCATTCGCAAGTCATTAGCCAGACATTGGGTGTCTTTACACTGCCATCTTGATAAAGTCCGTACGAAAAAGTTTGCGAACAAGTCCGTGCAGAATCGTATCGGTTTGTGCAGGTAGGTATCGCAGAAACATTGTACTAATACTAATGTGACAAAGATCAATTGCAGAACGTGAAAAACGGAAAGTTTCTTAGCAAACTTTTCCTATAATTCTAGGAAGCAGACTGTTGTAGATCTGCTGTCGTCGTATTTCGTCGTATTACCCACTTCTCAAACTGTGTCGCTTAGTTCAAAAAAGACGCGACTTCCGAATAGGTCCCTTCTGAGTGTAAGTGCCACAACGAGAGCGTCAAGTAAATTCAGTTTTGAACACGCGTCTTCGAGGCATCAATTGCAGACGCTTAAAGATCCGTCAAAATGCGGGCAGATGTAGGGCGTTAACTAGACTCCTTCCTCGTTGACCGCCCGTCTAACATCGACAGACACACGCATTCTTCAGAATCGTTCAGCGATGCTCTCGTGGCGCGGTGGATGTGCTCGCGCTCCGTGTGCTGGAGGTCGCGGGTTCGACTCCCGGTCGCGCCCGCTACCGCACCGATGATTATTTAGTCCTTAGACATCTGAGTCTGTGTGAAGTCAAACTCTCTCTATGAGGTTATTTTTGTTGGAGAAATATTAGTTGTTTTTTTCCTGCCGAAAGGCTGCCTCGCCGTTTTAAGCTAAGGCCATTCCAGAGCGACGCGATTCCACTTTCGCCACGACACGGCAAAGTAAAGCCGCCAATGCTGTATATGTAAAAACGTGAACCGTCGCCTTTGTAGACGCGCAGTTCGCACAGCTTTTTTTCTTTTTTTATCACAGTTCATATCATTTTTCTTCGAGAGACCCGTCCTCCGAATCATCGCCGCCTTGGTGACCTTTGCGGTCCTGGCGTCACATCTTTGCACATCAGGAACGCACCCGTTTCCGTCGGCCACCTTCCCAGCGTGCCGGCGGTCGGTACGTACGTCACGAGAGCAGATTGACCAGGAGAAGAAAGCGCAAACAAATACGGTTCATAAAGTGCAAGAATGCGCATTCGAGAGCGCGGTTATCGAAATGAGGTTATATCTGCGACTGATTTTGATGGCGTTGGTGTGCTCGTCGGTCCGATGCCATATCGGTAAGTTACTCTGAATTTCGATGCTACGAACGTCTTAGCACGCTTACCGCAAGGCTGGCAAAGGCCAAACTTTCAAAAATCTACGGTTAGGGGCTGTACAGAAAATATGTAATCATTACATCGCCTTTTTTACCCCCCCCCCCTCCCCCTTCCACGGTGTGTACCGCCATCGAAGAAAGCAGTCAATATGAGACTATCCTTATACACTAAAGCGCTGTTTTCCATCCGTCCCAAAAAAGTTTTCGCGATCTAACCAAGTTTAGTATCATTCGATAGGGCTTCTAGGGTTATGTAAAAAGGGAAAAGTTTCAGCCGAATCGGTTGTCTAGAAAAAAAAGTTCTGATCGACCAAAGTTTCAACTCCTGGCTCCTGCTTACATGCCATAGCGGGCCCGCTATAGCATGCTTCCCAGGCGGACAAAAAGGGAAAACTTCATCTGATTTGCGGTCCTAGGAGGTTTTCCTGCATGGAGAATCCAAAAATTGCGTTCAATTTTGCAAAGAGGTATTTTGGAGGGGG